CAGGCATCTGGAGTTTAAAAAGCTCCAGGTAATTTTAATGTGCAGCCAAGTATAGCTAATTCCCAGCAAATTTTTTACAAGGCAGTAGTCAATGGTGGGTTTCTGAGACTAAAGTTTGACATAAGAAAAGTGATATATTAGTACTTTTTAATGTTTTTTATTTTCTAATGTTTACTTACCTTATTTTTTCAATTATATCTTCCAAAAGATATTCCACAACCGGAAAGGTAAAACCAGGTATATGTATCATTGGACAGTTACCTATCACGGCAGACAAAATATAAGCATAAATTTGTACTCAAATGTTAAAAAAATTAATATACTGTAAATAGGACAATGACTCTATTACTTACTATTAATTCCAGAAAATGGTCCTGTAGCTTTTACAGTTCTACCCTATTTATCCATATCTACTTTAATAAAAAGCAGCAGTCTAGTCTTCACTCAATACCACTTTACTGCTACCAAACTGTACACACATCTCAGTTCTACAAAATAACACAGAATACCAAAGAACAGAGTTTTAAGTTGAACTAAAAATCCATTAGTTAGAAGTCTATTTTCTCTTCATCATTAACCCAGATGGTATCATAACAGAATATCCAGAATATCGAAGTTTTACTGAATTCCAGATAAGCATTACTACTTGTGGCACCCAGAATTAGTGGAGAAAAGTAATCAAAACAAGACCTAAACAAATAAATTGCTACTATTTCAAAATTACTAATAAAAAAATCCCTTCAGCATTGTTATTTAAATGCTCTTTACATTTCATAACAAGGAAAACAAGCAGTACACATTGAAAAATCAAACATCACATGGGAGGTCAAAATATCTGAGCAGGTATCACTGCTCTACATATGACGTGCATACATTTGAGTAAGGTACTCAATGTTAGTTCTAGAAGCCTCATTTTAAAAAAACAACAATAACACCTACCCCAACTAACCTTACATGGTTTTCAGTTTAACTGGGATGTATTTTAAAGGACTTTTATAATGCTGATGACAAGAACATTTATTAGCCGGGCACGGTGGCTCAAGCCTGTAATCCCAGCACTTTGGGAGGCCGAGACGGGCGGATCACGAGGTCAGGAGATCGAGACCATCCTGGCTGACACGGTGAAACCCCGTCTCTACTAAAAAATACAAAAACTTAGCCGGGCGAGGTGGCGGGCGCCTGTAGTCCCAGCTACTCGGGAGGCTGAGGCAGGAGAATGGCGTAAACCCAGGAGGTGGAGCTTGCAGTGAGCTGAGATCTGGCCACTGCACTCCAGCCTGGGCGACAGAGCGAGACTCCGTCTCAAAAAAAAAAAAAAAAAAAGATTTCAAGTCTGTGAGGGGTATTAGGGAAGGCTTAACAAGCAATGAAGCTGGGATTTTTCTTATATAATCAATAGCTTACAAATGAAAGGATGGAGAAGATGACATATAAAGGTCTAAGAGGAAGGAAAACATAACAGCGCAAATTCATGAATGAGAGGGCATGGCATGCTAAATATACCATTATGGAATGGTATACTTAGCACAAGCAGGCCATAGGACACGTGACTGGGAAATGAGGCTAGAAAAGAGGATGGGGACACACTGTAAAGGGCCTTGGAATGACCAGCTAAGGAATTTGAACCTGATCCTATGGGGCTGTGCTTCTCAGTCTTTTTCCCATCAAAGAATACAAATACAATTCTACACAAGCTCCTGGAGAAGTCTGCTAGCAGCAAAAGGCCAGTGGTCAGAATGCTGAGGGAATCAGTAACTTAGGCATACCAGCTGATGTGCTCTATTATAGCCATGGCAAACCAAAAAAGGCTCTTAACAGTTTCTTAAAGAGGTATCACATATGCAAGGAGCCTGCCGAAGAAAGCTCACATGAACAAATTGTTTTTAGGAAAATACATGGCAGCAATCCTAAGAGTGAAGAATATAGTACCAAAAGAGTAACTATTATATAGCACAGGAGAGACAATAAGGACCTTGGCAAAGAAATAAAAATGAAAAGGCATGTTCAAGAAGAAAGTTCCCACGGTTTGTGTCTGTTTGAAGGCAAATACAAAATGACTTGGATTAACTTGGTTACTCAGCGTGTAAAACAGTTGCCATACCCTGGTATATAATTGCCTGATACACACTAGCTTTTGATTTATAGGTTAGAAAACTGAGTGGAGGATAATTAACCATTATATAGTAAAGTATAAAGTATAAAACATTGTTTTATTTTTTTGGTGGGAGAATATAAGATAATGATTTAGGCTTGAGAAATGTTAGGTTCAAGGCATCTGTGGTACTAGACTACTACTGAGTAGAAAGCCAGTTCAAAGATCAGGAGAAGCTTCAGTTCTGAAGCTATACTACTGAAAGCTGTGAAAATATACAACTACAGTCAGGGATATAAACAGGTTTGCACAGTGAAAACATAAATGATTGAGAAGCCTGGGGGAAATTATATTTAAATGTTAGGCAATGGAAGCCAACAAAGGAAAGTAAAAATCAGGTAACAGAACCATCAAAACGGCTCAAACACTAAAGACAAAGATTCCCAAACTTTGCTGCCCAGGGATCTTCAAAAAACACTGATGCCAGCCAGGCGTGGTAGCTCATGCCTGTAATCCCACTACTTTGGGATGCTGAGGCGGGCAGATCACGTGAGGTCAGGAGTTTGAGACCAGCCTGGCCAACATGGTAAAACTGTGTTTCTACTAAAAATACAAAAATTAGCTGTGCACAGTGGTGTGTGCCTGTAATCCCAGTTACCTGGGAGGCTGAGGTGGGAGAATCACTTCAACCTGGAAGGCGGAGGTCGCCGTGAGTGGAGATGGCTACACTGAACTATAGGCTGGG